TTTTAAATTGATGTAAATAGTCTATTAATTGATTCATCGATTGAAAGAAAACAAACCTGTAACTGTATTGATCAGCGATTTCAACTGGCTTTTCAAGCTAAAATGCCAAAAGCAGAAATGTGTTCTCCTCAAATGTGCAGATTTGATGCTTCGTCATAATGATAGTATCGGAATATCTTTGGGTTTTGGACTTTTGCCATTGCATAATTTCCATTTTTCACAATTGAGCTCTGTTACAGAACAATGGATCAATTCATCTAGAAAATAATTGTTAGTTGCATCCGTAATCCAAGTCTCGAGCAAATCATCCTTATAGATAGATAGATAGATAGATAGATAGATAGATAGATAGATAGATATTCCTTTATTTGTCCCACAATGGGGAAATTCCAATATTACAGCAGCAAAGTGGATAGAGAAAAAAATGGTATAAAAAACAGTAAGAGTAGGGAAATAATAAATAAAAACACTATGTACAAGAGAAAAAACAGTAAGAATCCACAACAACAGATAACACAAATATTAGCAGCAGCAGTTGCACATGGGCTATAGATTGCACAGTGAAAATGGTATCATTATTTGTCTTGTTTATTTTCTGCACTGTCACCACTTTGTCATGTGTTGGCAGGTTTCCAGTTGCTCAATGTTGTGAAATGTTTCAGACTGTGAAATGCATATTTCTGAAATACAGAGCCATCTCAATGTCTGAACCAGGTGAGCTGTTCTCTTTGTGTGAGAACGGCCACAGTGGGCTCAGTTATTGTACTTTAGTCTCATTTGAACCTGTAATCTGATGCAGTCACACTGCGAGATGAGTGTGAAGCTTCTAACGTGTCGAAGGGTTTCATCGAATGCGGCTCTTTTTAAGTTGTTGTCACTTCCTGCCTGTAGAGAAATGTATTTCACCACACTCAACATCAGAATGTTTTGAGTGAACGTATTGTTGCGGAAACCTGTTGCATAATACGTAGGCGTCGTCTTGATATTTCACTGTGTACCTTTTCATTGTTATTCTTTTTCTCAGAGCACACTGAACCTCAGCAACCCGAACTTCTTCTCGGTGCTGGTGCAGAGTGTGAACTGCCAGGTCCTCTACATGAAGACGGTGATCGGGACTCAGCAGCTGGACAACGCCACCACCATCCTGCCGCTCAGTGAGAGTCGGGTAAAGTTCAAAACACATACATCTCAACAAAAAGAGGTTTTATATATGTTGCAAAATAAAACATTTTTTAGTAATAGTAATGTTTTTTGTGAACATGATAAAGGTCATCGCTGGCTGGTCCAGACTCAGTAAAGCTTCCTGGTACAAAGTTCAGTATGGAAACAAACACGTCCTCATCACTGTAAAGCATACAGGAGGTGTGCCTGCTACAGGATGTGATCTCTGTTTGATAAACTCGTTTGAATACGAGCTCTACTGCGCAAACTAAAAGGTTAAATGCTTCAAGACAAGAAGAATACACACTGTCGCTGACTTTAAACTGTAAACCTAAAGACTGTTAACAGATCCTATGAAAAGAACAAAACTAACAATGAACTGATCCTGAAACTAGTACACATACTAAGTTTACCCCTGTTCGAGTACCGTATGCTGAATACTGCAGTGTGCAGCCATTATAGGAAAGTGATTCAGCCTTTTTAATTAATGATAGTATATAATATGGCCCGTTTTTAAAGATTTGAATTTTTAATTGGAATGAATTTCCTCGCTGCTCGGAGCCATAGATATACTCAGGAAGCTGTTGTTGATGTTAACAACAACATTGACAACACTTAAACTTGTTGTGTATCAATCTTCTGCAGGTCAACTACACTGTCAGTGTGGAGATCGGCAGCAGCGCGCCCTACGTCTAGTAAGTGTCTCTGCCTAAACTTTGTCCTACCAGCCTGTCGGTGGAAAGTACAAACACAAAATCTTTCCAAGATGTCCACAGAGACTACTTTGAACAGTGAACTCCACCGATTTAGTCTTCCTTTCGGTAGGAGGACTTGAGAGAGCCGGATCAACAAAAGAAGGACCGAAAATGAAAAATAGGTGGAATAATGTTTGTGTTCCAGCATCCCTGTTGACTGGAACTGTATTTATCTGCTGAAGACTTTGTCACTATTCCAGCTTAGCAAACTAAACCTCTTCTTTTTGTGTCTTTCTCAGTGCCTTCTGCACCATGCCCAGCATTAAGGTCCACAACATTGTCGTATATATGCAGTAAGTGTCTCTTTGCTTCACTTTTACCACTTTGTCCTTCTTCTCTTGTTATTTCTGTTTTGTTTTGACTTTGACCATCACAGGGGTGGAAGAAGTCTTTAAAACCTAAATAAAAGTACTGATACAACAGTGTAAAAGTACTCCATTACAAGGTAAAGTCTGGTATTTGGAATCTTGCTCAGTTACTCTTATATATATGGCTAATAACACTGATGAAGTTTCAGGCAGTTTCATCCTCCAAATAATCCCATAGTAAAGTCATTTCTGTCCTAAAATCCTTTGTGCAGTAAGACTACTTAATTTAAATCTGCTTATATAAAACATATCTTAGGTGTTCATATAGAGGCATCAGTAAAAAGCCCCTCAGCAGGTTGAAATACAGTACTGGAGTACATGTGTTTAGTTAGTTTACGCCACTACATCATCATAACCTTCAGCTTATAGTAAAGAGGCAGCTGTGTAATATAGTTATGTGTCATGTTAGGTAACACTGAGAGACAGTGTTACCACAAAAGCCACTTCCTTCTCAAGACTACTTGTGTGAAATCGTGTGCACCATTACTTTATTTTGCACTTCATTAAAATATGATCAAAATTGCAATATGGCCATTTTCAATATGCAAATTACAAGAGATGCAATGTTTGATAAAGGTAAACTGTGATAAAACAGCATTATAATGAAGTACTGTAGTTCTGCAGATGTGCACTGCTCTATAAATCTTCTTCTCCATAATTAAGAAAATATGTGTATGTATCTGGACACCTTTAAAATAGAGCAGGTCTAGACCGTTCTCCTTAGAAAATTACACATCATAATTTTAATTTGTTTTTTTCAGTAAAAATTCAATATTTTATATTTATAATTTCATACTGCAATCACAGTCTGTCAAAATAATTGCAATATGATGAAGTGCAGCCTTACTGAAGGCCTGCATTTATTTGGTCTTTAACTAATTCATTGTGATCGGCAGCAGCTTGGTCCTCATTTCTGTCTTCCCGCCTGTTTTCAGAACCGCAGTGAAAACCTCGTACATGGTGCGAACATCCCAGAACAGCCTCGAGGCCTATCGCTACATAGACTGCGGTTCCAACACCACGTACCACCGGACAGTCGAGAACCACAGGCACCTCTCCTCTACCCACTCACCAGCCACATCCCTCAGCCCCCCTCTGCTGTGAGATTCCTGGAGAGGGAGGAAGAGGTGGGAGGAAGAGGCTGGAGATGCTGGCGCACACTCCAGGATGGATTTTGCTCCGTTTTTGCAAACAAAACCTGCAGCAGCAAAAAAATACCAAACAGTGCTTTCTTTTAAGCTCACACAGAATAGGTAACATTAGTAGTAGATGATGCTGTTTCCTGGAAAACTGTGGCAAGTGAATGTTTTTTTGTTTTTTTAACTGCACATTGGTTTTCATTGGACAGCCCAGAGGCAACAGGTAATGTTACTGCTATCGCCACAGCAGCTAGTTTAGTTTTTACTTGCATTAGTGCGGCTTCTGATTGCCTGAACTCTCTATTATACCAGTTTAAAAAGGCAGTTTGGCTGTTTCAGACAGTCACGTGTTGCAGTGGTGAAAACGGAGTGACAAATTGAACGAGTCATTGCCAAAGAGCGCTCTGTGTTTGGAAGCAGGGCGAATGGCAGACGGGGGAACATTCCCAGCTGAGAAGTGCCACTGAGGGCATTTTTGCCATAGCTTTAATTAACGCTGCAGAGCTCTGCCTGCGTCTGCTGCTGCTGTAACGTCAGGAGAGCGTTCTTCAGCATAGCTTGAATGACTTGCGGTATTGTAACACTGTAGAAGGAGCTGGCCTGCTGTTACTACTTTGGATTGAATGCAGCCTCAGGAGGGATCATTTAATGACTGTTTTTGCACCTTTTGCTGTGTTATTTAACTGTTTCTGACGTTAACAACGGTATTTACACATTTAACATATCACTGATGTTTTTAGATGAACTGATAAGTTATTTCTCGGTACCTCTTATCACAGCAAGTCTAAGCACACTGATTTTAGATTCAGGGTACAGGACCATAGTGCCATAGAGAGGAATACTGTTATGTCGATGTGACCTGATCACTGATCCTAGTTAATAATTTCTTAATCATCACCACAGTGGCTTATCAATCTGCAAACCACTCTGCGGAGCATTTCAGACCAGTAGGTACATTATCCTAGTCTGCTGGTTGATAGAGGTTGACTGAATCTTTACATTATCAAGTGTTCTCAAATGACTTCTGCCACAGTATCTGTATCTGTCTGTCATAAGGTTGACTTCACAATAGAAACAAAGTGACTGAAAGCAATATTGATTTAACTTTTATAAAGGGACAGTTTGTAAATTTATGAATGAAAGATTTTACCAGTGTTTTTAAAAAAATACAGTATAAGCTGTTATGATTGGTTCTAAAACGATATTAAAGGGAGTTGTGAATAAATAAAATGAATAATGAACAATATTTGTTTGTTTCAGATTCTTTTTTGCGCCGACCATTTAGAACTAATCTGTCCCGCTTCCAGCTTCCGTGTTATACGGAAGCATGTTGCTGCCAAAGGAAAAACAGATCAGTATCATGTTACAGAGTGAAAAGTTTATTGTGATAACTAAATGTTGTAAAATGTGGTTTTAAGTTATCACTTTATAATATGAACTTCTTGTAATATTATAACATAAGTATCAAATGTGTGTGTGAAACGTTTTGTTTTGGTAAATAGTACTGTTATAACAAGAAAAGTAAAAAAGAATTGGTTGCAGCCTTTTGACCAAAATAACCACTGACCCAAACGCACTTTAGGTACCACATCATTTCAGTTTAATTCTATTCTTCATCTTTTGCATACAAAATAGCATAATATCCTTTCAAACAAACAAACGTTTCCTTTTTTATGTCTCATACGCTGTCCTATAGCTGCATGTGAAAATATATTACTACATAATATAGAGATCAACAAGAAAACAGACCACAATATATTATCGCTGTAATACAAGTAGTGTTTTTCTTGGTTTTTACCAAACAAGGCAACACACTAAATAACTGCATAGTAAAAATACAAGAAGCAATAAGTACAAAAATATAGCTGGATAAAAAGCTTATTAATACAAGAGTGCTTGTCTTTGGTTAAGTACGTCTGTCTTCAGGCCACTGCCTTGCTTGTGTGTGTTAACCTGTGTGTCTTCTCTTTGTTACGTAATATATGTGTGAATGAGTGTGATGAGATGTGAAGCAGTGAATGAACACCAAACATTTCACGGCAATGGTGCAGTTTATCAATGTACGTCCTTCCCCATCTAGCTTTTTCCCGTTTCACATACGATTCTTTAACAGCGGACGTAACAATACCCAACATATTTACCTAAACACCCTCCGCACACCAAAACCCTCCACACACGCGCTCACCACTCCCTCGCACACACATTAAAAGTTAAAAAACTCACATTCATGTTTACTTTCATCAGTTATGTCTCTCTCTCGCTCCGAATATTACGTGTATATGAGTGAAGAAAAAACACGATTGTCGATTATGATTAAATGTGTTACACTTATAAAAGTGCTGCTGTAGGGTTGAAGGCAAGAGTGGCTGTAAATGTGCTGTACATACATCTGAATACCTGAACATCTCTACATATAGAAACTGAATTACATCACCAGGGCTTTGGTCACTTTTTATACAAAGAAAAATAAGGGATTTTATAACAAAATACAAGATATAAACACCTGCTGTTTTTAAAGGCAGTTATTATGTCTAAATGCTGAACATTACAGTGCAAGGAAAGATCCTCTTTGTAACCACTCCACACAGTCTCTGTGTCCTTAAAGCTGCTTTTACTATCATAACATGAAGAGAAAAGGTGCTTTTAACCAGGAGCCTGTATCATGAAGAGAGTTCAACTTAGTCCAGCACTCTTTGAGCTGCCTGGCTTCACTGAGCCAACATCGCTGGTCCTGATTTCACAAAGGCCGCAGTTGTATTTCTATAATATTTAAGATGAAAGCAGCGACCATAGCTTAAAAGACACATCTTTAGGTATTTTTGTTAAGAGTTCAACACACAAAAACTCCGGTCTACCTGTGTGTGTGTGTGCGTGTGGTCAGACATGATTCACAGTGGCCAAATAATCCTCCAACTGTTAACAGATTCTGATTCAAATGTCGCTAAATCCTGATAAATGCACCTGAATACATCAATACTAAAAATGTGAAATACGCCAAATTATTTGTTCACATTGGATCCATCGCTCCAAGATGCATGAGATGAAATGGAGATAACCACTAGCAGTTAGGCTATTTTGGCAGCTAAAGGTGATATACCACCACAGACAAAATCTAATTTAATCTAATTCTAGATAATCCATAAATTTTCCAAAGTCACATTTCGGTGCGGTTTTGCCTCATGATGAATAAAGTATTCAAAACATTTTGTCCATGTCAGGATCCCGTAGGAATGACGACTTCATGTTGACAGGATTTGATTTGATCCTCTGAACCGAACCTGCTCTTGAGCAGGTTACCATGGTGATCTAACCTGGTTAAAAGTGATTTAAGCCCAAAGATATTAGAATAACCCTGTAATCTCTCTCCATGATACAGGCCCCTGGTAGTTGTAGAGGATATTTGTTTCTTGGAAAGCCACTGTGGATTGTGGAAGTTTCCTCTGAAGCCTCCCCGTCCTCGGAGGAGTTGTAACACTATACATCATGGCTTTGTTTGAACACTGTGTTTTTTTCATCCAACAATACTTCACCATATTAGAAAATTGAAATGTAGTGTTATATTGTCAACCAACCCTTTAGGAAAAGGGGCACTGTTCGGAATGAAATACCATCATTTCCTTTAAAATGTCTTAAAAAATGAGAAAATCTTTGTCACATCAGCTGATGGACAAAGATAGCTTTAGTGTCATGGCCCAAATTCAGCAAAAACAAGCTCTGGCACTCGGTCATTACTGTACAATAAAAGCCATGTCAGTACTACATGCTGCATGTCACTGCTTGTCTGCTCTGAGTTTGGTTTCCTCTGTTTGTCTCCGTCTATCGGCGCGGCGACAGCATGACCTTGTTGATAAAGTTGACGATGGCAGAGGCAGGTTGTTCGGGGTCCAACTCTGCAAACAGGTGGCAAACGTTCTCTGCCAAGCTGCCCGGCTTCTTGGCTACGAAACCAAACACCCTGACGGGGGGAGGGTCAAGAAAGAGGAAGAGATGACAAGTTAATGAGCATGAGAGGAAGCGAGATATTTAGTTTGTCCTGTAAGTGGGGTAATACGGTGTCTTTCTAACAGTCAGTTAACTACAGTGAAAGAATTAGTATTATGTAATATGGGGTCACATGGGACTTGATTTTCATTGTTAAATCGCATTTGCTGCAATGATTTTGCCAAGGCTCTCTCACAATCCGACGCCATGCAGAGGCTCTAATATCACTGACCTCTCAGCCACGGGTGCATCTACACACCATTTTTTAAAAACACATGACACACATGCACACTCTCCCTTTCAGACACAAACAGAGCACTTACTTAACACTGGTGTTGTCTGAGTTAGTCCACCTAAAGCCAAAAGAGAGAGAGACAGAAACCAGACTCAGACACACACACAGGCAGAGCTGCCAGACAAGCTGATGCAGCTGCAGCTTCAGCCACAGCCGGCATGCTCGCAAACATAATGACCTGTCTGTCATGCACACTCGCATTTACACGGGCGCTAACAAATGCACTCACAGAACAGACGCATGGATCCATGCAAGGGCTCAGGGCGACAAATGCAATGAATGATCATGGGTGCAATGAACGACTGTGGCGATTTCTGCTTCCAACTACAGCTACAAGAATCAAAGAAGATCCCCATTGTCTTTGAGTTGCCTACCTCCGGTCTTTGGGGTCGATGCTGCTGAAAGTTACGCTGTTCACTGGGTAATGTCTCCTGAAGAAAACTCTGGAAGAAGACAGATACAGATAGAGCAAGACGGGACAGAAGACACCTTTTGAGTTCTAAATCATCCATCTCTAACTGGGGGGGGTTAGATTAAAATACTGAGATGCCTCACAGACAAACTGTCATTACACTCAGGAATAAGGTCACAGAAAGAACAACTGTATGTAATGAAGATAAAAGTAACTGTTGTCTTATTTTTCGAGTACTAATCTCTTACCTGCGCTGGCTGTCGGTCAGTGTGATGCCCTGCGATGTCACCTTGAACTGGACTACAGTGGCGGCGGGACGCGGGTTACGATTCAGGGACGCATCTGTTGCCTTGGCGATGGCCTGGGGGCCGGTCAGAGACTCTGTTTCCACAGAGTTCAGGTAGAGGACGTTACAGGCTGAGGGGACAGACAGAGAGAGGTGAGGAGACTTACGAACATTACAGTAAATTCTTGCTGCATTATTTCCATCTTTTCTTGATATTTAGGTTTGTAGCAATATTGGTAGATGTATGTCTAGTAGTAGTAGTAGTAGTAGTATTTTGTTTTTCTACCCAGTCTCTGTAAAGTATATACATAATAATGTGACTCAGGTGGAATCTGCAACATAACAGGACAAGGACAGGATAGAGAGCTCACCTGCTCCTTGTTTCAGCAGGTCAGCAGCCGTGCTGATGTTACTCACTGGTTGAACCTCCGGCACCTCTCCTATCAGATCTGACAGCATGGAAATCACTTATATCATATAAAAGTTCATTTGCTGTCAAATAGTTTTTATTTCCTAACTGTAAGGTTTAAAGGAGTATTTCATGCCTTACTTGATCTGTTAAAATAGGATATGTTCAAATTAGAGCCACAGAAAAAGAATCCACTATTTTGACAATCTTTTTCTGACATTTCATAAAACAAAATGATTAATTAATAAAATAATAAATAAAAATTAAAATAAAAATTTGCCAACCTTTTTCTGGGATCTTAAGAGCGCAGGGCAAAGAGATGGGCGTGATGGAGTGTTGGTAAACTAATGCAGAGAGACTCCCTGTGGATAACAGATAGCAGTGTAAAATCCCTTACGTTCCCAGTCGTGGAGTGACACATAGACATGAAAAGCATCCTGAAGCTGGAGAAGGAAAACTTACCAAAGTACGGCTCATTCTGACATCCCTTAATCTTGACTCCTCGTGGGCCTGTTTCTATCAGGAAGTGTCTGACCAGCTGTTCCAGAGGGTCGGTCACTGTAACAGCAGAGATTTACAGTAAACAAGTAGCTAATCTCATCGTCTGCCAAGGACAAAGCTACTGCTGAATTAGTGAAATGTGACATAAATAGCCTGAATGACTAGACCGTGCTCCTGCTGGAGAGAAGGAACAAAAATGTGAATATTAGATATTCAAATGTACCCTTGCTGTTGTGGTTGTTGACATTGGGAGGAGGTGTAGCCACCTTCAGGGCCAGCCCATAGGCCCCCTGGAAAGAGTTACTGTCCCTGATCAGGAAGGTTCCTGGCTCTCTCTCCTTCAGAGCTGCGATTGCTACAGCCAAACACAACCAAAAAGTTAGGATACGTATGCACTGTGATTCTCAAAAAACAACGCGTTTCATCAAAGCAAACAATATTTTCTTTCATCAAAGCAAACAGAGCTTTACCCTCACACCCTACACTTTTAAAAAAGGGCTTAAAACTTTCTTGTTCAGGCAGGTGTTCTTAAGTTGTCCTTTTGTTTTTCTTAATGTATTTTATCACTTGTATTATTATTGGTTGCTGATTTTAATGTGTTATTGCCCTTAGTGTTTTTTGTTTTTTTTTCTTGGGTTTCTGTAGCACTTTGAGATTCTTTTATGAAAAGTGCTTTACAAATAAAATGTATTATTATTATTATTATTATTATTATTATTATTACCCTCTCAGACCTACCTTGCTCTCTGGAGATGCCCGGCTTGTACCAGAACCTTGAACTGTCCTGAACAAACTTCACACTGACCCTATTCGCATTCTCCGTCTCCACAGACGCCTCTCCATCATTTTGGCCAGCAGGTGGTGCAATTTCCCCCACAGTGGGAGAGAATGTGACGTGGTGCTGATGCTGGCCGGTGCTGGTGCTGGAGGGAGGCACTTGGCCCACAGCTGGCCTCAGAGTTCCCACCCCATCGTTGGGTGATCCTGACTGGACGGGCGGGTGGCGCTTCTCTGGCAAAGGTGGCTGGGGGTGAGGAAGGGGGATGGAGATGGTGGAATAGTTGGAGTAGGAAGATGGGTGGAGCTGAGGAGTGTGAGCAGTGTAGCCGGGCCTCTTGTAAGCGTCAGGAGCAGGATTGTGTCCGGCAGCGCTGTGCTCCATGCCTGGGTAGTGGTGGTGTGGGGGTCCGTGGTGCTGGATGTGGTTCGGATGGTGGGGGTCGGACCCACTCAACATCAACCTCCTACCCAAAGTGGCAAAGCCAGGAACTGGTGCATCAGAGACTGGGGAGCCCTCCATGCTACTGGAGGCGGGCTGGGGGGATGATGATGAAGCTGGGGTGGGAGATGCAGGGGCAGGGGTGATGATGGGTTTTGGGGCTTCTGGGTGAGGTTCCCTGGTTGGAGAAGATGCGACGACCTGTGCTGGGGTCGGTCTCGTCAGTCCGGCGGCTTGAGTATGGGTCTGGCTCTGAGGCTGGGACACTGCCTGTGCCACAGTGGAAGGCAGAGCAGCAGCCTCTGAAGGATGGGGGGTCTGGGGGGTGAGAGGTTGGGAATGTGTATCTGGTGCAGATGAAGTATGAACGGGGGATGAGGGAGCCTGGCAGAGTCCCTGGTTTGATGTGGTTGGTGTTGCAGAGTCAAAAGAAGAGGTGTTCTGCGTTGTTGAAGCTGATGGTGTATCTGGGCTACAGTGCTGCTGTTGGGGAGTGGTGGGGGGCGGGTCTTTTGGTGCAGTGCAGTGGTTGTGGGGTTCTGTTTGTATAGGTATGGATGTGTGTGACTGTGGGTCTTTGGCAACCTGCGGCAGGGATGACGGCTCTGTGCTGCTTCTTTGGCTCTCTGGGGATTCCTGGACGATAATATCACCACCATAGTGTCCGTCCTGAGGCTGGGAAGCCTCGTAGTCACTGCTGAGGATGTCTGTGGTCCGGATCTCATACTCTCTCCCTCCTGGACTGGGGCTTAAGCGGACAGATATGAGTATTACTGTCACAGACCTGCTTGTGATGTAGTGAAATGTTTCTAAAATTTCTACACTGACCTACTTCTTGAATCTTTATATAGTCATATAATGTCATATAATGTTATAAGGAGTTTGGTCTAGACCTGCTCTATTTGAAAAGTGGGCACATCACCAGCAGTACAGAAAAAGGGAAGTTAATTTAACAGTGACACAAAAATGCTACTGTACCAAGAAAGAAATCCATTATTCATCCTGTTAGCTGATATGTTTTTGCAACTGTAGTCAGGACAGTTACATGTACAGTACTTCCTATTCTTTTTTTATCACCATGACAACGCTTGAAACACGCTCCAGACAGGAAATAGGCTCTCTATTTCTTACACTTTTTTTATAAGTGTGAATGGATGCAGAAAGCAGTGTGATTGGAATGCAATCAACAGAGCAATAACAGCTGTTTTGGTTAAACAAAAAGGATATTACTCTTTAAAAAAAGGTGTATCTCTTTCCATAATGTTGTAATGTTTTTTGCCCCCAAAGGATTACATTGCAGTCAGCCGCTGCTCTCTCACTCAATACTCGACCAACTTAAAAATGTTGTCCCCATTAGCCACAAACCTTTCCTCACAAAACATTAATGGCACACATCCATGGCATTGCTTCCGTTGACCTGGATCATGGATCAGATGCCATTGTTGAGATCATGTATCCAGACCTCATGGTAATACTAGGTGTAAATGGGGTTCAAGTCACCACAAAGGCCTTATTAGCGGGTAGATGTGTATGAGCAGCCAACCCTGGTGGTAAGGAGCACTCCAACCGACACTAATTTCCCTCTTAGTAGAGGAGTAAATGTGGAATACCTTTCCTGTGTGCGTAGAGGGCTGCTGGTGTGGACAGGAGTGGGTGGTCCAGACATGTCAGACGGCGTGGAGCATGCAGCGTGGCCATCTCTGTGGACCCTCTTGAAGGAACCGTGGGCAATGTGATCCCTCCAGCCCACACTTTCACCAGAGCTCCGAAGGCCATCTGGAAAGATAAGGAACAATAGATTGCATTTACGTAAAGTAAAGAGACCTTATCGACTGGGTCATATAATGTCTTTTGCTGCCGATGTTTACTTGGTTTTTGGGTGTTAAGTTGTGTAAAAATCACAAAAAGGCAAGATGAGGCAGTTTGTGAGTAATATGTAAGGCATCTGTCGAGTTAAGCACAAATTATTCGGTGCATGCTGCTCTTGATTAAGGGTAATTCTTTACACTCCCGATTCCCGCTGCTGAAGAAAAACAAATTTCTGAGTGTCTCTGTTTTAACGTGACTCACCAGTGTGTGAGTCAGAGCCGTATGACTGTTGCGAGTCTGGATGGTGATGGTGGTGGTTATGGTTATGCTCTCCAGGCCCGTTGCTATGGCTACAGGGCCCGGTCATGGAGGAGGCCGGAGGCAGTGGGGACGTGGACTCTGATTGGTAGCCCGAGGCGTAGCCCCTGCTTTCAGACGGCGAGGGCTGGTAAGGTGAGCAGGGGCACACCTGGCGGGGCGTTTGGTAACCGCTGCTGCTGCTGCTGTACTTCAGGTCCAGGTGGGAATGAGCGTGGGACCTCGACGCCTCTGGATAAGCCGGGTGACCTGATGGCAAGGGGTCAAATGTGAAGGCCGGAAGATCGTGACCCTGTGGGCCGTAGGAGGCAACAGTGGCTCTCCTGTGCCAATATTCGGCCTCTCTGTCCCTCTCCCACTGCAGCTCAGCCTCCCTGTCTCTCTCCCAGTGGAGGGACAACTCCCTGCCCCGTCTCAGCCCAGGATCCCTCTCCCAGTGGAGCTCTGACCCTCTGGGTAACTCTGCCTCCCTGGCTCTCCTAAGCCCCACCTCCCTCTGCTGAAGCTCCGCCTCTCTGTCCCAGTGGAAGCTGTCATTTCGGTCCAGCCTCAGGCTGTGATAAGCCGCAGAGTCTTCTCTCCTGATGCTGCAGTCTCTGCACGGGCAGCCAGGGGGTGGCAGACCATCCATTAGCATTATATCATGGTAGGTAGGGCTGGTGGAGGGTTTGGGGTGGTGTGGGTGAGGATGGTGGTGGCTGTGAGGAGGGTGGTGGTAGGGGCCGTAGTCGTCTTCCCGACAGTAGAGGCGACCGGGGGCAGACAGAGGGTGGTGATGTGGGTGGTTGTGAGAGTGAGGGGTAAGGTCTGGTGATGGGTATGGGCAGATATGTCGAGATGAGGGAGCCTCCGAGCAGGAGCGGTGTAGGTAGTGCGGTGGGCCACTCTGGCGGTCCCACACGAGGTCGGGAGGTGGAAGGGACTGGTGAGAGTGGGGGCTGTAGTGCTGGCACAGATCCATGTGTGACGGAGGAGCCGCTGGGTTGGGGCTGGCTGAAGGGGTCGCCCCATGGTGCCCGTTGGTGCCAGGAGCCCGATCGAGGCAGTAACCATTAGGCATGAGGAGAGTGCGGTCGCAGCCAGGCTCGGCACAGCGCTGGGACCGGTAACCATCCCGGCAGGAACAGGACCGACTCAGCCTCAGCGTCCCAGTTCTCTCAGAAGGCAAAGAATCTCCATCATCCAAGATGGCGGTCTCCCGCTCTCCATCTCGGTTTCCCTCTATGCCTCCGAGGAGACGTTCTAGCTCCTCTTTCTCCTGTCTGGTTGGCGGCGGCGGGCGAATGGGCTCCTCCTGGCGGTCGGGATGGATAGCTGGTTGGTTCAAATGGATGGAATGGGCTGAGAGGGCGGAGTCAGAACCTTGAGAGATGAGATGATCTGGCCTATCTTCAGCGAGGCCTACCGCTGGGTTGCTGCCATTGGTTGAAGTGAGAGAACCAGAGCATGGACCTCTGCGCTTCTTTATCTGAGCGTAGAGACTGCCGTCTACAGGACCTCTGGTGTGAGCAATATCTAAGACAAGAACACAGTACTCATTAGCCATTCATAGAGCCAGTTATGAGCCTAATATCTGAACTATTCAACAGCTGTAGTGTTTGGTTGTCCTTTCATTTCTACTTGAAGACTAGGCGGCCTGTTTTTGGAAATGACTAGGATCGACAGTCTAGGGTTAGGGTTAATAGAGCTGAAAGTTTAGGCAAAAAGTGTTAACTTCCTGTAATTATCCCTCTTTAGTGATCACCTAACATTAAGCTGAGATGGGATATGGAGAAAAAGGTTAGTGTGTTACCCTCCAGGCTGTCCTGGTACCGCTGGTTAAAGTTCTCATAGGAATCCCAGCGAACCACTGGGTCAGCAGTGTTGTAGTCGACTGTGATAGCTGGGTCATTCTTCTGGTACTCACGCCCTGAGGAAAGACACATTTGATTTATATTCATTTGCATTTGTTTCCGTCCATAAAGTTTCCCTTGCACTTTTGAAGCAGAACAGATATTAAATGTCCAGTGTGTAACATTAAGGAGGATCTATTGGTAGAAATGGAATAATCAGGTATGTTTTCAGTATAATCATCTGAAAATAAGAATTGGGTTTTCGTTACATTAGAATAAGCTTAGTTTTTATCTTGGAAGGTGAGTGGTATTCAGTTTGTTGCAATCTGAAACTTCACCACTTGATGCCACTAAATCCTTTAAGAAGAATTTGAAGTAGAGTGAACCAACCTTTGATTTTCTCAGGTCCAGAGGAGAAGACAAACTCCACTGTGGCATCAGACGGAAAACGCTCATCTGGGTAGAAGAAAAGGAAGAAATAGTCAACATAAGTCAATAATGTATCAAAATTCTCGAAGATCATGTTAAATAGCTCTTTTTCTAAGATATGCATATGGAAAGTTTTAAATTCTCCCCACATTATAGTCTTCAAATGTAAATGTAATCCCTTCATGAGACCCAGATTTATGACAGCATACCAGTTATTGGTCCAGGCCCATGTTCGGGAACCCCGAGAAAGGAATCAAACTGTGTTTCTGCTCCAATATATCAAATACACTAATACTTTCCACAGATGTCTTCTCAGTTGCACAAACCTCCAATGTGTTCATGTACATCTGTAATGCTTCATTTAGTGTAATGGATTGACGACCTTGTACACAACTTGCTCTGCTTTACAGACATGCATCTCAGCTACATGTACTCTGTCATTACAGAGAAAGTTAAACCGAGGAGGAAATGAAGTAAGGAGCATATTCATTACGGACTTAAGCAATAGACCAGTGTTCACTAGGCCTCCTTTACTCTCTCTGAGGGACAGTTAGAGGCACTCGCTCCCTGCATACAGTGCAACTCATTCTCAATATACTCGCCTCCAAAGAGCTGTTATTATGTCCAGGATGGGGATTAAGCTACTACTATTAAGGGATTTATGCAGCCACAGTCTTATGAGGCCATTATAGGTAGCAAACCACGGTGAACACTTTCCCACAATGCTACATTCCAAAGAGCTGCTATTATGTCATTTAGTTGTATGTGGTGATTATCCTACAACAATTAACAAATTGTGCCTAATAATGATGAGTGTCCAATGATGCAAAATCAGCAGAATCCGATCCAGCGTTTAGGGAACAATATCATTCATCCTCATAAGTTTCAAGTGGGGCCATGGAACTTTTGACAGTAACATATCATACATAAAAATCAGAAGTTGACTGGCTGACTTTAAATAGATATTTCTGCATGAACTGACATTACTGAATCAGTTTATTCACTTCAAATACTGTGGAATAGGTACAGCCCACTCTAATGTATTTGGACAAAACTGCCATATTTTCTAAAAAATCTCTCTCCACCAGAGCTGTGGCTCAGAGGCAGAGCCTCCTTAATCGGAAGGTTGTGGGTTTGATCCCCGGCTCCTGGTGCCACATGTTGAAGTATCCTTGAGCAAGATACACACACTGATGCCGTGCATCGGTGTGTGAATGTTAGTTTCTGTTAGATGGACTTTGCCATTACTGAGTGAGTGTGTGTGAAAGGGTGAATGTGGCACGTAGTGTAAAAGCGCTTTGAGTGGTCGGAAGACTAGAAAGGCGCTATACAGGTCCATTTACCATTTACCACCTACATAAACTTACCAGTAAAAGCTTCATCCAGCTCCCCTTTGCCAAACCAGAGCTGGGATCCGTGGATGGTGCAGGTGTGGAACTGCAACCTGAACACAGTGTCTCTGTCAGCTCCCTGGGCCCGCCTATGGTAGCATTTGACCTGCAGAGGGCAGCAGAGGAGGAGGAAGAGAGACAGATCTAAACACATGGGATAATGAGGAGTTTGAGCAGTAAATTTAAGGCTTTGCGTTCCAAAATGAGTGACACCTACACTTTCGAAATGACTGAGAGCACAAAATGGACAAATTATGAATCCTTGTTAACAAAGTGATAAAACTCTTTTCCAGACCAAAGTTTATGTTTCATTTCTTTCTGGGGACATGGCAACTTTACCAAAGTTTTTTAGTACATGTACTAGTCATTTGTAAAGTTTCTTCTGTTTTTATGTCTGTTGTAGATAAAAAAAAGTATGAAGTATGTCCCCACCCATATCAAGGGTCCTCTGTTTGTCATTTCCGTTGCCATGTGAACTCACCATGATGTCACCCTTTAGCAGCAGCGCCGGTTCGATGGTCACACACAGGCGCCTGCCTCCAGTTCCTTGAAGGTCACTGTAGACAACACAATGTCCACAAACAAGCCTGTTAGATAACTATAAAATACAAGCAACGCAAGCAGATACAGTATGTGACCAAACATGGACGAACCAACACTGTCAAAGATTGGTTAGTGCGTTGGTATGTTGTCACAGACTACACAACACAAATACAGTTTGTGACAATGTACATTTTTAATCGATGAATGATTGATTGTAGCACCATTTTGATCTATAGTCACACTGATTAACTTGGAGAGGCTTTGAGGTAAACAATAAATATACGAGTTAAAAGCTGGATTGAAGAAGAAAGATGTCCTCTGTGTAATTCTTTTTCACTGCTGTCTCTGTAATTACTCTGTGACAGTGTTAAAACCTCAGCTCATGAAAGAAAACACCCCAGGGCCAACAAATACACAAATACGCCCTGGCTCATCTGCGTTATCAGTTGGCCATATGACAGCAAGAGAGACTCACTATATGCCTGAAGTGTAGACCAACTGCATGGACTGGTAGATCTTCAAGAAGGGGTAGTAACCTAGAAGAAGGGGAGAGAAATTTAAACATAGCGAGCATTATCAACATGAAGACAGAGGAATGTGCTGACTGCCACCCCCGCCTCCTGGACTTGATCATCAGATTAAAGATAAACAGACTAGTTTTTGTGTGGGTGGAGGGTGAATGTGACCATCTATGAGAGCTGCGGTCAGCAACGTTGCTGTGATTCAGCAGCGATGGCCTGCCAGAGCCTGACGCCAAGACAAACATCACATACACATTTTTTTACATGGCATTTTATCTGTACATAAAGGCAGAGTCAGGATACATCTCAATTCATGTTTCCCTTCATCATGTCTTAGTCTACTCCACTGAAGGTGTGCGAGAGAGAGGGATGGAGGAAAAGATGGAATAGCAGGAACAAGGAATCCAGGAAACATGTTTGTATGAATGTATTGATATTCTGTATGTAAAATGATTATGAAATAATCTGGGTTATGATTAAAACTCATAATTTGTAGAAACAATAAAATAGGCTACATGTTCAACTAAAGGCATAGAGATGTACCAGACTTGACACATACATTCAGAGCAGGCACACACACTGTATGTTCTGTGCTTTGGTGATTGGGCTACAAAGAAACAAACAATCGCACCTCCTTCGCCCTGGAAGTTGGGGAGTGACGGGATGAGAACTTGGTGGAGGAAGAGAGGGCTGCTGTTCATCTTGATCGCCCCGGACAGAAGGCCCCCAAAGTAATAGATATATCTGAAAGAGAGAGAGAGGGAGTGAAAGAGATCCTAGTAAGTGAGATATAAATTGGCAACAAGAATAACAGATGGAGGCTGAGATCGTGAACAAACATCTTTAAGAGAGAGAAGAAAAATGCAAACAGCCCCGGAGCAGACGATACTGTTGTCAGATAGCCAACGACAGTGGTTTCTTCAAAGGAGAAAGTGAGGCAGGTAAAAAGAAAGGAAAACATATCTTGCTGAGTCTAAATATTTCACTTTTCCTAAAACTATCTGCCTGTCGGTGGAGAAAATATTTCTTGCGTCTGCCACAGTTGAACTTGATTCAGGAACATTCTTGAATCAGTTGTCATTTTGACACTAGTTTAGTATATTTAGTATATTTGTATGTTAAACATAGTTTCGGGAAATAAGGTGACTTGTTCTTGCAGAGACAGATGAGGTATGTAAAAAAAAAAATCATGTATTGTGTTAAATAGAGTAGCAGTTGACACAATGTATTTTATTTATAAAGGAATAGTTTGACATTTTGGATAATTAGCTTACTAACTTCCTAGCCAGGAGTTAGATGAGAAGATTGATATCACACTCATGCATGTACGCTAAATTTGAAGCTACAGCCTGGAGGTTAGCTTAGCTTAGCATAAAGACTGTAAGCAGGGGGTTACAGCTACCCTGGCTCTGTCCCAAGTGTAACAATATCCACGTAGCAGCACCTTTAAATCTTACTAAGTAACACGTTATAGCTTATACTTGTTTACAAACAACGCATTTTTCCTTTGGACAGACAACTTATGCTAAGCTAACTTAATCCCCTCCAGACATATATTAAGACATATACAAATAGTTTGCCTGGAACAATAATGTGTGTCTGATATGTTTTTTGTGCAAAAAATAAAAAGGTTCCACATTAAAATCCTAAAAAAAACGACATCTACTCCTTCTACATCATAAAAACTTCCAGAATCTCTGAATATGCAAATGTTGTTCATTTCGAAAGTTTTCCTGCTGGACACAAGATGTCTCCTACTTCACTGTAAAGTCCATTTCCAGTGGATGTACACTGGTGGCTTCAAGTTTCTACATCACACTGTACAAGTTGCATACTGGACCAGGACTGACTTCCAGACTATTTGTGATGTCACAAATCCTGCTGGTAGGCCCCGCCCCTTAAAATCAGACTTTCAATGAGCACAGAGAAACTTTCCACTTTCAGCAGATGAATGTGAAAAAACATCCTTCTAGTGTCACACTCTGCACATACAGCATCCAAACAGTGAACAAGAAACATCTCACTGTAGGAACAACATGTTTTGGACTGGAGGGGGACTTTTGATTGTGACATGTCAAAATGTCTGCTGTGAAAAAGGCCAAAACTTGAGGTTGAAGATAAATCAAATCCGGCAGTTGTATGTATGAAGAGCTTGAAGCTAAAAGCTGTTTTCTATTTCTTTTCCCTTCAATAAGATGCTAAGAGGGGATATATTAATTAACCTCGGCTATGATGTGAAATACCCTCAACCACCACCCCCACCCTTCGCCCCCTCCCAATTTCCCCTCATTTCATCCCGTGGCCTCTACCTGTTTTGGGATGGCTGGAGGGAAGAGGACACCTTATCTTCACAGAACTTCCTCATGGCGAGAGTACTGAGAGCCTGGTCCGCCCTGTACATGAATGCACGCAAACACACACACACACACACACACACACAGACACACACAGACACACACAGACACACACATGCTTTAAGCCAACAATTTCCATCATGGGACTTGCACCAGACTCTCTAGATGCCAGAAAGTACATGGAGAGGATACAGCTGGCACTGGCCACAGGATAAACCAGTTTCCACTGTTCCTGTGCAAAATCCACTGGGCTTCATTTATCAAATGACTTATCAACGAAGTCTGAATGGAAATCACTGTGCTGCATATACTTGAACTGCAACACATCAGCCACTGGATGAACGTGAATGCCAACATATTTGGCACGCACGTTTAAAGGGTTGAATTTAAATCCAATATGTTTTTGCACGTCACTTTAATAATCTTTAATGTGTTCCATGTGTGGATATTGTGATGAACAAGAAAATGTCAAAATGTGGCTTTGGATGTCTCCAGCACACACACACACTCACCCTGCGGAGATCTTGCTGTAGTGCATGTAGGCTGCAATAATCACGCCTGTTTTACCTTTATTGCCCTGCAGGAGGGAGAGGGAACAACAGTCATGATGAGCTGATTTCATCCTCAGGCACCGAGGTTTGGACTAAGACAGCTGGCTTTCACAGCTTGTGAGACCTTAGGGTTTAGACTGCAGGGTTGATTTTTGATAGAGAGACACAGACAGACAGAGAGAGAGAGAGAGAGAGAGAGAGAGAGAGAGAGAGAGAGAGAGAAGCAAGGGACAAGGCAGGGACACAGAAAGATGTGGACAAGCACTCTGAATTCAAATTAAAAAGCTCCCTGTGGTGTTTTTATCACACCGGGTGCTCCGAACTTCCTGACACATTCCAAAGAAATTCCAGCCTCAAATTCTTAATGTGACCCCTCCAGATACCAGTACGAAGGCTGGACCTCCACACTGAGCACAAATTAAAGCTCAGTGTGTCTCTCAGTGGAAGATTCTTCATTGACAAAAACTTGTTTATTCCCATCCCTGGCGTGAAATGCAGCTGGGGAAGAATTGCCTGTAGCTGGAATGTTCTGGGAAGCCAGCAGACCACAGAAGTAGTCTGGTTTTAGTATTCAAATTCTCCTGACCAAAACCAATAAATAAAACAGTCAGACAGGCCGTGGGAGCTCAGTCGCCCTCAGTTTTAGCTGGTCACCATTTGGTAGCGGTGGAGCAGTTCAAATTGCCTGACAGGATGACATGAATGAATCACTAAATGATGTGTAACGATGTGGAAGGCAACAGAGTTTGATCTAGATTGTATGGTTAATTTTCTGGTGAGGGTGGAAACGGCTTTTTGAATTATGTGGTGCACTCGGCAATTTTGGTTTTAGTCAAGTTGTGTTTTAACTGCAATATCTAACTGAATTTATTGCATTGTACATCAGAAATTGTGAAAAGAGGGATTAAATTGTACAAGCAGGATAAAGAGATTGACTGAACTGACTTGATGATAACATCATTAACCCAAATAAGTAAATTAATCTATTTTCCAGCTATCTAGCACTGGTGGATTTCAACTAAATACATTTAGTGTACTGAAAGTGTAATTTTGACAATTTATACTACTTTATACTTCATTACACAGCTTTGCTGAAATTTTGATTCTAATTGGTCAAATACGGCATTCTACATGCTGTTATTCAGAAATAACATCAAAATAATGTCTGTTCTTTGTTGTCATTTTGAACATCATTAATTTGAAACCACTGTCAGTAAAAACGTTGCACTACTTCCAAATCAATATGCGTTGCTACTTCGCTACAAAACAAAACTCATTACTACATTCTGATACATCTGCCTGTTTCAGAGCCTGGGAAACAGTGGGACGCCTGTCCGAAAAACCCTGCGGCCCCCTGAACTCTGACCTTGCAGTGCAGGACCACCACGTGCTGAGGGTCAGAGGTCAGCCACGTCTCCATGGCCTTGCAGATGGCACAGATTTTATCCAGCGGTGGGGCGTGGAGGTCTGGCCAGCCAAAGTCATGAACCTGGTGGTTGAGATGGAGGGAAAGATCATGTGGTTTAAGGAGATTTCACTGAAGGCTGTGAGCTGAATTCTTGACACAGAAATGCGGGAACAACAAGAATAAGAATTCTACCTTTGGATTTAGTCGGCTGATGTCGTGGCGCCTCTCGGAGAGGTTCAGGAGCTGAAATGGAAAAGATGAGCCATTGTTAGGGTTATTTTATCATGGGTGTGACAGAAAAAAACAAATAGACTTTGTGGCTTGCTAAGTGTCTTTTGCGGCTTCCTGTGGCTATATGTCAAAATATATAGTCTCTGTTGTCTATTGTGCAGCAAGCATCATCAGATGAATTGAACTGAATACTCTAAGGGCAGAAGTCAAATCACTACTGTCACAAATAGCACAGACAGAGAGAGAGCGCTGCATTTCTGCACCCTCACCAGAAACTTGTCCTGGTGTTTGGACTTCAGCATGGCAGCCACCTCCTTCAGGTTGATACGGTATCTCTGCTCCTCCAGCTTCGGGGGGAAGAAAACGGAGATGATCCTCTCTGTGATGTAGGTCAGGTCGAAGTCATAGTGGCGCTCCATCACTCTCTCCATCACGCGGTCCACACTGAAGCTCCTGGAGGAACAGAGGAGGAAAAAGAAGAGCGAAAGCAGGGGGTCAGGACACGGAGGGAAAGGTGGACATGGGTTCAAATGTGAGCAGCACTACAGGCTGTATGTGGCAGCTCGACATGAATGTGCTCCTTCACACACAAGTCTGGTGAAAGCTCTGGCTGGCTGGATGGTGAGAAAGAGAAAACAGAGCAGCGAAGGAAAAGAGAGAAAATGGATACTGTGTGTGACATGTAGGTCAGATCAAAAGCCAACTTGCTCCATCACATGATTGACTCTAAACCTTCCGGAAAGAATGAAGAAGCGGCGGTCATTAGTCTGAGGGACAAGTGAAAGAGGGCAGAAACAGAGAAAAAGGACACTGATTTGAGCAAAGTGTGGAGCAGTGCACAAACCCATAGACATGATTTGCCTCTTTGGAACAGAGCGACAGGAACTTGAATAACATGTATAATAAGAAATGAATGAGAGGACCTTTACCTTGGCAGGGTGTTTCTCTGTTTGGTATAGGTCAGAGACTTGGTGGACCCCTGTGGGAAAAAACAAAGATACATCTAAAAAAGTCATAGCTTGACTATAATTAATGATCATTTCAGTGTTTACTAATCAGAGCTTTGGCATAATGGTAGCAATATCCTTCAGTCGCAGTACAGTTATCAAGTCGCAACTTGTGTGACATATTTCCTGTAGCTGCCAACAGAGCACAAGTGCACGTTCAGACTGCAAGCGTATTAAGGTCTAAATGCATGGTCCAGTCAAGCTCAGATGCTTTGTTGATTTCATTTAATTTCCACATAGTGAACCAATAAGTAAGATTAACCATGCAGTGTTTGTCTACAGTTACAATCAGATGAAAAACAAGGAGGGAACGGAGAGGAGTAGTTTTGATAAAGAAATTACATTTAGTATAGTGGAATGTGAGGAATCACTAAATAGAGGATTTCATGAAACCTGAACATGAAGGAGTCTATGAATGTTTATGACTGTTGTCATTAAGTGACATTAAGTGTCATTTGGTCAAAACTGAATATTAATAACATTTCTGAAAATAAAATATTCAGGGTTTGGTTTGTAAACATAGCAACATTAAATATGAGCTGCCCTATCTAGAGCCAGTGTTTGGCTTGTCCATTCTGAGCTACCATAGAAACAGCCAGGCTCATTCAAAGGTAACAAAATACAATACATTCCTATCTTCAGGTAATTATACACTAATGAAAACATAGCAATGAATATTATATTCCATTTCTGCCATTAGATCCTCCTAAATGTTACACACTGGACCTTTAAACCTAAAGGTGTATTACAGCCTACAATCGAATGGTGTGGCGCAGTGCGAATCAGTGGGATACACTTGACTCTGAAGTGTGGCTTAGGTGTACCTTCGGTTTCTTTTTTTCAGATTGGGACAAACTAGCTGACTCCAGTGCTCACAACCACAAGTGATTATTGAGACAGACCTTATCCATCTGTCCAGCACAGTCCACACCTGACCTATCCCCCATCACCACCTGGGGTTCCCAAACTGTTTCTATCATATACCTTTGGAAGCAGAAGAAATCCTGACCTTTCCTCTAGTGCCACAATCAGGCCAGATCTTCCACATTGACAACAGATCTGTGAAATCTGATGGGCTGACTGCCATGAAAACACATTCAGTTCACTTCCTCACTCAAGAGGAAGACACTCTTCATGGCCTTCCTTAGCACAACCCTCAGAAGAAACCTGCCTTACACTTTCCTATTATTGCGTCTAATGAATACAGCAACCTTTACAACTGCTGTACACCCTGTGCTGTATCTGGCATTGCTCTCACTTTGGTTTGTTTAGTATGTGCTAAATCAAGTTAAATGAAGCCACAAACGGTTTAACCCTGGCAGGTTTGGAAATTTCCAAGACAGATAGCATTACTCTAGGGACATGGGGGGAAAGTCAAGGGAAGATTCAGAAGCGGGTGAGGAGGACAGGGAGAGAGGATGGGAGGTTAGAGTGTGCTCACCAGGTGCTGGGTGTGTCGAGAAGGAGCCGTCCCTCTACGCTGCTGGATGCAATGAAGGAGCGGTGACAGGATAAAGGAGAACAGAGGAGAGAAGGGTGTGAAGAGGAGGATGGTAAGAGGAAGTAGGGTAAAGGGAGGAGGTTGAAAGGAGGTGAAGAAGGAGGAGAGAAGGGGGAGAGAAGAGGAGGGGATATAGAGGAAGGAAAGGAGAGTTAATTAAACAAACAGACTCTCTAATGGATAAACATCACTACTTCCTGTAGCAACATCAACTTTTTTTTGCCTCTACACTGCAGCGCTCCAGGAATGAACCGAACTCAAACTGGGTTGAGGGCTCGGCTTCCCAAAAGGAATTCAGCAGTAGGAAACCATACGGTGGTTTTGGGAAGCCATGCCTTGTAACTAAGGCTAGACAAAGAGGGAAAACCAGTCTTGTACACAGAATGCTCTTAAGGAAAAGAAATGGGTGTGTGAAAGAGACTTACCAGATCATTGGAGGGAGCTGGGATGCAGGCAGAGGTCACCTGGAACACATAAAGACAGCCACATGTCAATGCAACACTGGTTCGAACACAGGCGGGGAAACAAATCCATCCCTTTTGCTTCAGGACAAAAGGAAGGAGTCAGAGTTGCGAGATGATTAAGAGCAAATGCTTCCTCAGACAAAAAGATAAAGATGGAAAAATCTGCAAAAAAAAGTCTGACTCACTATTGAACCTGAAGTCCACCTTAAAGGAGTAGTTTGTAGAAAATACGCTGATTTGCTTTCTCGCTGAGGGTTTGATGAAAAGTGTGATACCACTCTTATTTCTGTCTCCTTATGAGCTGGGAGAGGGTTAGCCTCAGTTAACTAGGCTGTTCTAACCACAGCTTGTCATTCTTATATTTCAGTTTTGGTAAAATGTTAAACAAAAGAGATATATAGAATGTAGTGCAATGTATTAGTGAGCTTTAGAGGTTCTGGTAGGTGTACCGCCAGTCTTTATGGGCTAAGCTAAAGTTAACTGTCTCCTGGCTTCACATTTAATTTAACTGGCAAGAAAGCAAATAAGGGTATAACAAAATATCATACTAATATTAAGATATATCATATCTAGATATAATATTAAGATTCAAATATCCACAAAAGAAATCCTAAAAAGTCTGGTAAATTAGTAGCACATTAACATCACTGGACAGCTACTGAGGAACTGTAGGCTTTCATTTTTGTCCCTGAAACAATTCTGGGGACCAAGAATAATAATAATAATAATAATAATAATAATAATAATAATAATAATAAGTCATAATTATCTACAAAAGGAATTTTGGGCCATCAATTGCCTAGCTATATTGCGCAAGAATATTTGCCAAAAAGTCATGACATCTTAACCTTGTATCTCAATTTGTCAACTACTGCTGGGAATGCTGCCCATCTAAAGATTAAGATTGTGTTTCACCACTGTCAGACAGCTCAACAGTGCCGCTAGCTGAGGTCAAACTGGGGGAGGAATACAGAGAGAACGACACTTTTAAAAACTACAGTACACGATGATGAACAGATCATAAGCACTGTCTGTAAAACTGCTTAGAGGCTCTTAAGTGCCAAGTAAATACAAGTACAGCTGATGTTAGAGAGCGTGTTTACAAAATGTAAAGTATGTGCACCATGTGAAGCCAGACGCACAGCTGGAGGAGCACTGAGACAGAAACACACACATACAGAGTGACACATCCAATTCCCATGTCTGTTATGGGCCTACAGGTCAATGAACTGCGACCAAAGGAAGCAGGAGCTGAATAGCGGCCCTAATGAAGGGGGCTGAGGGCCACAGTCATACTTACGTAACACGTGGACACACACACGTGGACACACACACACACACACACACACACACACACACACACAAAAGCAGTGTTCCCGCTACAAAGCCCTTTTTGGACTGTTTATTTGGATACAGGAAAAGGGCAAGGGCTTGTGTATATCTCATTGTGCACAAAAGGGAAGTTACACAGACCCTGAACCTTGGGGGTGTGTCACCACATCTGCGTGTGTGTGTGTGTGTGTGTGTGTGTGTGTTGTACAGTTTGTGTTAAACTAACTTTCTTCCCTTCTTTCTTTAGCATCAAGCTCAGTCTTCTAGTGTTGCTTGTGCGTAACAACATACATCAACAGGAAGGCAGAGGAACAGATAATGAGCTAAATCGAGACTTGCCGTGTTTGACAGAAGTCGCAGGAAACAGGTTCGGGTTGAACATCGGCTATCAAATGACTAACTGGACAATGTCCTGTATGACTCACTCTGAGAATTAATGCTTTTTTCCATCTCCGTAGGGAAATGACTCTCAAATCTTATCCTGTGTTGTGGTTCTTTTTTTATTCCCAGTCTGAACCCAATTCCTGACCAGATCCAGTTTGGGCTGGGTCAGACTCTAATTCCTCTTAATTCCCTCTGGCTAACACAGATCAGTTTCACGTTGTTTTTAAGTTTTCTCTTGAATCGGTGCATGTGAACCAATACGACATATGAAGCTCATCTACTAGTATAAAACTGTGTCTTTCAATCAGGTCAGTGCTCTTTAAATTTTGCAGGGTTGGCCCTGATTTTTGGGCCCTTTACATGCAGGACCCTCCTTTTATTGTTCTGCTCCACAACTCTAAATTTCCAACTACCATGGCAAGCGAGCAATTACCTCCTTCCTGTCCCAGTCACATATGTCTTTCCCTGCAGTTTTTCAGGCTATTCCCAGGAAAATACTTTCTTTCTTTGTCTTTTAAACTTTCTACTTTCACTTTCTATATCAGGAAATTAGCCAAATCTTTTGGGCAGGGCAGCTTTGTGTCTTGAAGGACAATGATACTTTTGCAGAGACTGTACATGTTGCACATCCACAGCTGAGTGTATGGTTAAAGGCCAGGATTTGAGACTTGGTATCTCCCGGGAATTCTCACAAAATTCTGTTCCCTTTCCCAGGATAAATACCTGATTTTTAGTATATCTACCTATTTGTTAATGTGTGCCTGCATTCATGTACTGTAGATTGTCGCATGCACATGTGCCTTCTCCAGTTCTTATTAACACAGATATAGTCTGACCTTAAAATGTAGATATGTCAGTAATAAAACTGGATCAACTTTCAGCAGCAGCAGTTTCTTCCTGTAGTTTTTCATGCCAATTTCCAGTGTGGCTGTGTGGCAAAATATAATTTAGTGCAGGATCTGTAAACATACACAGACGGTTCAACAAGTGTTTTTATCAGACATGCAGCAATGATTCTTTTACTGAAGCTTTAATATCAAGCCAGGAATTATACCATAGCCAACGCTGTGCATTCTAGTGATGTGATGTATAACTATGAAAAGGCAGTACAGTACCTCCATCGACATCAAATCAAATAAAATCAAATCAAGTTTATTTGTATAGCCCTTTACAATAGCCGAAAGGTACCCAAAGTGCTTTACAACAAAGCCATGAAACAATACATAACACATATACATGATTCATCAAGGTATTTTATTCAAATAACATTACTATTACATTTAATTATTTAATGTGAACATCAAGTAAAATATACTGTATGCATGTTAAAGAATGTCTGGAAGCAAAGTCTGAAGCCATTTATCAATCAATGTGTAAAACTGCAAGTATACTTTAAGGCCTAAAATGTAAATTGGAAGAACTGGGAGGCTTGGCAAGTACTGTGTATCACCGGGTCAGCAAACGCCTCATTCTTGCTGTGTGGGTCTTGGTGTACGCAACATTCAATGAAAGCCATGCCACAAAACTCATAATGAAATCTGGTGGTATTGTTGGAAAATGCAGCAATTCAAACAGCTTCTAACAAGAAAAATCAAAACCTTCTGGATTCATCCACTGGTTCCAGTTTCTCCTCACTCAGCCAGTCCTGGAAGAAGTCCACCACACAGTCATTGTTTCAAACCTCCAGTTGTTATGACTACAGTTCCTCAAATTTGACTGTGTGTTCCCTTCACTGCTTGTATTTCTAAACGCAGCAGCAATCAGGCTTTACCTGGGCTGATGTTCACACTGCTCATTGAGACATTCTTTCTTCATTTCTAATCTCTCCCTCTTCTCTTTCACTTATTCCTCTGCATCCCTCTCTCCCAGTGCCCGGTAAAGGGGCCTGCTGAGGGCGATTGCTAAGCCAGAACAAACACACCACACCAGATTCCATCTCTCCAGGCCAACACTTACGTACAAACTTCCTGCTAATAGACCTCCACCCATCGCTCTCTCTATTTGAATCCCTTTTGCTTCATTTTACCTCTCATCTTGTCTACCACTCTATCTGTGAGTCTATTTCTCCTTTTTCCCCCTCTCTCTTGACTTGCTCCTCCATTTTTCATCCCTGTTCACTTCCATTTTTTTAACTTGTGCTTTTGCTATTCTGCTGTTTTGTTTCCTACTTTTCTCTTCAGTTACGTCATCCAACTTTCTTACAAATTATGTACTTTCTACATCCTTGCCTTTTTTATACCTCCCCTTTTCACCTTTTCTTTCTCACTCTCTCCGTCTTTGTTTATCCTATCCCCCTACCTCTTCTCTCGATCTCAATACTTGTTTCCCCTTCCTTCTCTTTATTTTCTTTTCTAATCGCTTTCTAACAAACACCTTCCTGTTTGTCTTCCTCTCGCCTTTCCACCTTCGCACCCAGCTTTCTCGAATCCCAGTCATTCACTGCGCAGCCTTTTTGAGCCTCCACTGTCGTTCCTGGTCTTAGAAGCAGTGCCTGAAATGGGCCAGTACTCACCAGTACTGAGTACCTTACTTCTTATTGACTACCACTACACCTGGTGAGCATGGCCGTACCCACCACTGAGGTCAGCGGTATTTTTTCCAAGGGGTACAATAGTCGTGAAATAACTGCCCAAAAATAACAACTTTGATGCTTTGATGAATGCCCCAAAACCCTTCTGGTAAGTTCAGTTTTCAGACCTCAGTATTTCTAAAACCCCGGGTACAGCAACACTGATAAGATACTCCTAAACAACTGTAGCTAGCTCAATGCTAAGCAAACAGCACTGAAAACATCTTTGTTTAAAATGATATATAAACGCCCAAAGAATAGGGGTATGTTATGTTTAGGGTTAGGGTTGTGCTGAATTCGGGTATTGTCACCTTTTTGAGTCCAATTCAGGCACTGCTCAGAAGTGTCTGAAGGTTGATCCCCTGTGACCACCAGTAACCAAATATCCTTGAAAAACACAAAGACCCACGAATAGCTTGTTCTGACTTGCTCCGGATTCAAGCGCATAAATAGCAAAGTAAACACTCAAGTAGCTCAAGAAGATTTGCATGACTTCAAAGGGGCCAATATGGTGAACATGACCAAAACAATCCTGCATACTTTGGAATTTTCACTGTTTTCCTCTGTACAGTCTATACACTTGTTTCCCAGCTTCTCCTTCACTCTATGTAAAACCCTGCCCTCTGCGGCCTCCTCTCAGGTGGGTCCAGCTGGCGAGGCTCAGAGAGCCGTGACCCCCGTAACCCTCTCTTCCATATCTCCACCCCACCCCTCC